TATCAGTGTAGTCATTTCCATCCAACCTGAACGTCTAAGTTATTACTTTGCGACTGGAAAAAAATAAGCAAATGGGAAAATTTACCATCAGGTAAGTCAACCCTTTCTTTAGTATCAGGTCGAATTGATAAGCGGCTTTGAGGTTAACACAGTTGGATCCAGCGAATTCCAAAACAATGCAAAAAGGCTTTGATGAGGTTGCAGTCTCGTGAGCTCTGAGGTTACTTTTGCGGGGATGCGGCCTAAAGTGTCCTCAACGGTGGAAATCAATTGTATATGTGTAGTTCTTCAGCAGAGCATACGTACACTGAAGTTAATCTCAGTAAAGGGTCATAAGAACACACAAGTTCCCCTCTGTGCGCTCTGGTTTCCCGGTCTGTCTGCCACACATCCGAAAACGAAGACAAGTTACATAACTGAGGTTTTGAGAGCGCTGTCCTCCCCTGGAGTCCGCACATTCGGTGACCTTTGGTGAACTGAAGTCGGCTGTGCGCAAAATGTGCGATGTGGTTCGGTCCATCTGCTGTTTTCCACTGATGCTAATGACTTTACACGAAGGCGCGTGGACCACATGGTGGAATGAGGTCAAACATACTGGTTTTCTGTTGAGGCCATTCGGCTGTTTAATCTGCGCCGTTAATAAAACCCTGCTCGTGGGTTTTCTGAGGGCATATCGCAAACTTCCAACTCAAACCGTCAATCTTCGCTGCGTATTTTAGTTCGCGCACAATGGAAAAAGACTCGAGAGTGTGCTTCAGTCTTCAGCTGCTCTGGTTGGCAGCTTCTGACTTGATCAGTACAAAAGTGTGCTCTGGCTAATACACCAACAAAGACGCATATACAGAGTCAACAGCCTTTCCAAGCTTATTTAGCCATAACTTTCCGAACGGAAGCTTCTGAAGAGGGATTGGATAAGCTTACACAATCGTTAATCTGCCTTTGCTATTGCTTATTTGGCCGCTTGCCGACTTGTTGAGTGGGCATCCTTTCATGCACCTTATCGCTGGAGAATTTGGCCATTCATATCAGTCTACGCTTATTCAATTGTAATCGCTTGTGTTTATTAAACGTCACTGTATAGAGGAACCTTCAGGCGCCCTCTATGCTTGCCTACATTTCATAGAGGACCTATATCTGCCCGCTTTTTTGTTTTTGTTTTGTTTTTCTGGATATACGGCAGTCATGTTAATATGATTGGGAGTATTTTCTCTGAATCTTTTATGCCTTTGGTATCAGTCTGATACATGAGATTGTGGTCATCAACATACTGAAGAGCTTTCGACCGACATTTCGCTGAACCGACTGCTTAGAATATCAGCCATACTAAGGGAATCTCAGTCCTTCTACAAAAATGCATATCCTATTAGATGAAACCCAAATATTTGAAGAAGCCGCTAGAGCCGCATAAACCTAGCAATGTTCATGGACTTTATTTGAGTCACAGTTCACGTGCCCCCAGTCTATAAACAAGTGCAAAGACCTGCCCCACCTATATTCGGTGCTGAGACTCAGTTTGGCCAAAGCAATTCGCCACTCGGGGAACGCAGAGGCAAACGCGTCGTCTGATGCCTGCGCTAGAGAACCAGATGGCTGAATAATCATCACGCCTAAGTCTAGCACGGCTGATGAAAGTTCAGCAGGCCATGCTCCGCACGCCGGTCAACAAACAATTAGCTTACAGCGGGCAACTATCTTTGATAGGGAAAACCGTTACTTGTCCTAGGTATGCAGCAGCATAGCGACCGTATCTTAAAAAATACTGCAGCTCCCTTTTTCTGTTACTGTCTCTGCTGATGGATACACGACGGATTTCGGAAAAAATACTTGTCCCAGCTATCAAATCTGCGTCTTCTCGATTTCTTCCTGGGACTCGCATTTTCGCTTGTATTGACAATGATTGGTAGTATTTTCTCCGACTCTTTTATGCCTTTGGTTTCAGTCTGATAAATGAGGATGTCCACGCATATTACTAAATGAGGATGTAGTCATTAACATACTGGAGGGATTTCGACCGCCATTTCGCTGAACCGATTGCTTCGAAACTCAGTCCCTTCACGAAAACGCATATCCTATTAGATTAAACCTTAAGGTTTAAAGACACCCCTAGAGCCGTATAAATCCAACAATGTTCAAGTCATGAGTTTATTTTCGGGGACAAAATTGTTGGAGTATTCTCCTCTTGCTGGTGGTGAGTAGGTTGTTCTTAAGAGCCACAATCTGAATTATTTGCAAGAACCCGTAATCAAGACGATTACAAATTTCCAATGCTACCTCTTAGTGTATCGTAATAGAATAGTAATCCAGAGCTGTCGTCCTAGGACGCTTGTGGTTGTAAAACGTATATACAGGAAAAGATTGAAGTTCTTACGATCTCCCAGGGATCGTCCGAGACTAGTGCAAGCGAAAGGTTCTATTTATTGGTATTTTCATCTCCTTCACTAGAAAAGAGCACTTCGTGAGCCTATTTTAAAATACCGGAAGGCAGATGTTTATCCTTGAATAAAACTGCACTGCTACACCTACGCCGACAGAAAGTAAAGGCTGGGACTGAATAATTGTCTGACATTTCCGGATGCCTGCTGGACTCAAAGTGCGTCAGTTTGGAGCCCTTTTTACTAGTCCCGCCAATGGCCAGTTTATTTTGAGCAACCACCTTCAGAGATCACGTGCAGCTATGCTGGAGCATCGAATCACGTGAGAGAAAGAGTTAAAACAGTTTCAAAACCACCCGACTAAAGACTGATGAAAAATATACACTGATTCTTACCAAATTTAGTAACGACAGGAGTATCTTAAGGTAGATTAGTAAGTGGAAGAAGTCAGTACTCATAGAAACGCTCGCGTGGGTAAATCGCTGCAAATTACTTCCGAAACGAATGACAGGTCTGTAAATATATAATTCTGAAAAGCGGTAAAAGGTATCACGTATGCGCTACCGGGTAGGAGCAAGCCGTTTACCAAAAGCAATGAGTGGGTTGGCGAATTTCATTCAGATACTATTTACTGCAAATCGGTAACTTTCCATCGCGATTTCGAAACCACGACAGTATTCGCTATTGAGAAATATACTAGTCTTTGAAAGTGAGCTTGATCGGGAACTTCCCTGAGAGAAATTATGACTGGTGTGGTCGCCTTGCGAGCAATCCCCAGACAGATGACGTTTCCTCCCATGGGCTATGCGGAAATTGACATCACACGCTAGACCCTGTGGATCTTGATGTATCCAAATTAATATATGCGTTTGCGTTTTCTGAGGTCACGAAGGGAAACAAAGCTAACGGAAAAAAACCTTTTACTTCCCTGCTTTTGCATCATATATCAGATTTCGTGTCCAATTTCATGAGGTCAATCACAGTCCCATAGATTAATCGTCGACAAGTACGAGGTTTGCCAATGCTTCATGAGATGGTCGCAAGCAAAGCAAATATATGCTGCATCAACCTCATAAACTGTTTCAAAACACACGGTTTTCCACTGAAAAAACCAATTCAGGACGGCCTAAGGACTGCATGGAAGCAGTGGCTGAAAACGATAATCAGGTCTTCCGCATTCACCTCACGTGCTCTGATTGCCAGCTTTGCATAAACCAGGATTCAAGATAAATGCAATTGGGAACAACTGTAGCTCTACCGTCAGTTCCGAGCAGAACTGAGCTATCCTATCAGCATGTAGAACCCGTTGTCACCACTTTCAACACCTCCTGGCAGTTTTCAAGCATTGTTAGTTGTTTACAGTGAGAACCAAAACCATCAATGGGGCTGCAATGACGTCACCCTTTTTTCATGTACACCAGGGGGGGGGCTTGGTCGCGTTGAGTCAGGAGCTCACTTGAGGTGAAGGCACCGACTAGCAGGGGCCGGTTTCGAATGGAACGAGATTTAAATCGTGAACAAAAGATATATATCTGGTGGGGTAACTCATGGTTCAAAAATCCCAGCGGACATTCTGCCAGGTTGCGCTGTCACTGTCATCAAGAATTAGGTCCGTTTTTCTAAGAGTTCATGCAACTGAAACGTTGTGGGGTATTATACAGGCTGCTCATTAAACACGATTTCGCGTTTGCCACGTGTGTGTCAGATATCTCAGTGATCAACCTCTCCTTTCATTTACAATACAAACCTGGATCTCGCATACCTCGCAAGTATTTGCGCCATGATTTAGAAAAGATCCACAACTCTAAATATTGAGCTCCAAGTCACAATGGGATGGTCATGTCCCTTGCTTGATCGGTGAACGTCATCTTGTAATTATTAATATTCCCCATCACAAATGATAGGACAAAGAGCCTGTGGCTCAATGGTAGGGCATTCGACATAGAGACCAAAGATATCGGGTGTGAATCGTAGGTTATTCACAGTTGGGATTGGGTATGACTGCCTGATGACGGCTAATAAACCAGAAATGGCCACTCCGGTCTCTTTTGCTTTTTTCAGTTCTCCATTGCCTGCATTTAGTGCTGACGTTGTTTAACTGAATTAACATAAAAAATTGGTTTTTCTTAATACTCGGATAGTTGCCTACTGAACTTTATGCAGTTCTTGATGAGTTTTCTGGAAAACAAAGTGTAGAAGCTAACCTATTTACTGCTTATTCATATTAGCAGCAGAGACAGCAGCCTGCCGAAGTAGGCGGAATCGCTAAATGGTGGAGCGCCGGAAACCTTCTTGGCGAAAACTCTCGCACTGCCTCCCTCCAGCCCAACCAAATTCGTACTAAGGGTTCAGTGGCCGGCAGTTCCGACGAGCTCTTCTTTCCCACGGAGGCTAAATCGAAATCCCTTAAGGGCAAAAAATCGAAACAGAAGCACAAGGGCAGTGCAGACGAAGGTGCTAATTCCTCTCGGCTATGGAATGCCAAAAAGACGAAAAAGGACTCAAAAAGTCGAGGCTCGGATGATACAGGACAGGCAGTTATTCGGACTGCATCAATGCCCAACTTTTTTGAAAATGAAGCACCTTCAGGCGCCCAGCAGAGAGCGGACGCCGGTACGTTACTGTCTGTGTTTTTATCTATGAATATAATGTCTTGCAGCCGGTGCTAAGTTAGCGGACATCACGAGCAGAATTCATGTTACAGGGCATCTAATCATACAGTAGCGCCCAGTCAGTGACCGACCCCATGTAATCTTAAATACAATTTTGAAGTGTGTTCTAGATTAAGAACGACCACTCATGTAGGTGGAATTGTAATATGTATTATCGTGCGGCATAATTTCAAACAATTTGATACACAGCAGGATGCCGGCCTTTAAACGAAACTCCTTTCTGCCTCTTGAAAAACATCTCACTCTATAAAAATGATAACTTACGTTACGTGCATTTTCTTTATAAATCTTAGATGCCCTTAAAAATGCGAACAATTTTTTTATGAATCATGAACAACAAAATTTGCTCTAGTATTTATACAATAGCAAATTAGATCTTATTTGGTCTGCCATTCGAAACAAAACACTCTTTTGATTTGAAAATGTTTGTAATCGTGAAGAATTTAGAACCCTACACCGCTTATTCAAAGTGCATCGTATCTACCCGTTTATTAATGCCCCTCATTAAGTATACTGTAGAGTCCATAACCATTGCAAAATTATATGAGCACTTTATATTATCTTCTTAACGGCCTACGGAAATGTATGATATTCCTTTCACGGAAGGCATTTATCTAAATGACTGAAAGCCCCAAACGCAAATAACGAAAATCGGGTTACACATTATTCCAAAATTGGAAAACGTTTTAAAACATAGGCATAACCTTCCTTTGAGTATGAAATGTAAAGCCGAAGTAAATCTCTATCAAATGAGTAAAAGGAAGTTCTGTTTTGCTAATTTTTTTTAGTAAAATATAAATGAAGTCTTAAGAACATTTAAAACCCCTAAACAATTGCAGACATTTTAGTAAGTAACTTTTTTATCGATAGAGGGTTTTTCAGGAGCCAGAAAAAACTTTCCTTCAAAAGGCGGCATCCTGAAATACCTTAAACTTTTGTTACAAGAAAAAACGATTTAAATTCGACTTAAATAGTCATTCCTAATTTACAAAGCATTTGGAAATGTTGGTTAAGGTTGCATGACATTGATAACTGACTGTACAGGCAAACAGTTCTCTTCCGCCACCTTGCAAAAAACCCCAACGAATGAAAATGAAGACTTATCAGACGCAGACAAACAATTGCACACATGGGAGTCTCGCTCAGATCAATCCTACGTCGCACATTTGCACACAGCTCATTGAATGCCATGCAGACTGACCTCCGGGAGAGTCGAAAGTAGAAAAAAGCAAGTACTTTAAATGGAATTCCGAGTCAGAAAATTACCATTTTGTAACGAAAAAGTGATTAGTGCATGAAGACCCAGGGCGAACGTGAAACGACGTCTAGTACCTGTCCTTTAGCATCGGATGTTTTCTTCTGTTGTGTAACTTCCCAATTAGTCCTATATAATCTAAAAACTGGTCGACCTCCACAACAGTGTTAGACTGATAAAAGTGGAAAAATGTTGCACTTTTTGAGTCAGTTA